AAATTGTAACATGAAACTACATTCATTTATCCTAAGTAGCTCTTAGTTCGTAACATTATACATCTATTTATAATTAAATTTATTGTCCTTTGAACCATGTCTAATTACTTTCTGCACCATAAAAAGTTGTAAATCACTCTAAGAATGTGCAGGTTGCATTACACTATCAAGTTACATTTCCCATAAACTACTTACATGTGTGCCTCATGAACCATTTCAATTATGTTATTATTATTACTTATTTTACCTAATCTAGTCTTAAATAACTTTAAAAGATCCATATTTTTAGATTTTAGTTACTTTTATAATAATAAACAAAGAATAAATATGAAAAACAAGAAATAAAATACTTTACTAATTTTCTTTCTTGCTGTCGGGTTTCGAAGAGGGTTAACCCTAACTTTTTATAGTACTAATAGTAATGCATTTAATAATTTTATTTAGTTAAATAATGCACCAAAGAATATAAACTAATAACATTCCAAAAGTAGCCAAATTCCATTACCTCTCAAAATTTTTCTGGCTTTCTAACTGTGCTACAAGAGCCATTACAAATTCATCCAAACTAATCGTTAACTTTCTCACAGGAACAAAGCTTGTACTGTGAGTTGATGCTTTTCTGTTCAGAAACAATGTTATACAATATGTCATTTAATAGATGAAAACCTTGACTTTCTATTGGTTATAGGTAATATATGATGAAACATAAAAGAGAACTATCAATGAATTGTGAAAGAGAGGGTATGGCAGGAGGGGTCCAATTTTCTATTTGATAGGTCTGTAACCGAACAAAATTGAAGGCTTTAAACATTATGGTTTGTCTGACCAATAACAATTTTATAGAGTAATTTACATATAATTTTATACATTTTCGAGGAGTAGTGGATAAAATAGGGATGATGACATGCTGAGACAAAATGTATCACCTGGGTCACACTAGTGGAAATTCATGATTTTTAAAAATATTCCCTTGTAGATTTAAGAACTTAAAACTTATATACTATTAAAATATGGATTATTAGCTAAGATTTTATGCTATTATTATTAGTATAACACAAACAAAAAGTAGTATAATAAAGTTTTGAATGTAAGACACTAAAACCTTGTGTTGTGTGAAGTAAATAAGCTAGAAATAGGCTAAATAATCCACATACCTGTTCAAGTATCGTTTCAACACTGGCAAACAATGAAAATGACAACAAATTGCTCAAAGTCTGTTACCTCAACAATTCCAAGCCCCATTCCATTCAGTAAATTGAAGTCTTCATATTCTATTGATTATGAATAATACTATAGCAAAGATCAGAGAAAATTATTAATATTTTTTTAAAGATAAGGTGTAAGTAGTATGTGCATTTGACTTTTTGATTCATTAAATTGAGATTATTAGAGGATATAAGTTAATGCATTAGTAATATCTAAAGCAAAAGTGTTTAATTTATGTGTCATAATCAGAAGACCATATAGGAATACATAGGATATCAAGAATGGGCAATTTGGAGCAAAGAATTATCATGTGATACAGAATAGGGAAGATTGAGAATTTATTTTAATATTTCTTTTTGAAATTAAAAAATTAAATTTTATGTAATATTCAAATTTGAATTATAAATTACATTTTAGTTCGTCAAAGTTATTAACATATTGATAATAAGTTGTTTAATTAAATTTTGAATGTAACTCTGTAAAAGGCCATGACGTGCTCCTGTTATTATAACCAAGCCTGTATATATAGGGTTCAAGCCTATAATTCGTGTGTTAGTAGGTAATAAGGAAAAAAGTCAGCCATATCCAGTTGCTCAGGAAGGCTTGCATGGATTAATAATTTATTCACATCTGTCTTATGAATTGTTGATATATATATATATATATATATATATATATATAAATACTGTATTAATACTATAGTGCAGATTAGTGCATTGAAGAGTTTGAAAGGTGTTGCATAGATAATAATCTGTATACATATAGTATCCTATATTTGTTCTTGCAGGGTCCACCAGTCTCTCGACCAGATTCTGCTGATGATCGTCATATCATGGCTAAACACTCTTCCATTTACCCAAAAGAAGCAGAACTGAATGCAGTGCAGACTGTTTTAACTGACACTGAAAAGGCTTTGAAATTAGTTTCCGATTACTTAACTGAAAGGTTTATATTGTATAATTTTTTCAGTTCTAGTGATGATACAACAAAATTTTATTTGTTATTACCTAATTTATGATTGTTAAAACTGTCAGATTGGTGACTGTTTTTCAGAAAAAGACAGCCAAAAAACTTCTCTTGCTATGGACTTGGTCAATTCAGCCAAGTTCATAACCCCAAATTGATCTTTAGAGTTTCTATACTATAACTTCTAATATTTTTTGTGTATTTTTGCAACATTTTGCAAGCTTTTAGGAAACATTATATTTCTTTTTGTAGACAAAAAATCAGAAGTTTTAATGAAGTATTTTTAGTAAGAATTTCTCAGTGAACATAGAGAATCAGTGTTGACTGGTCCCAGTGCAAAGTGAGTTTCATGTTAAGATTAAAGATACTTTTCTTCATCTGAAAATAGTCAAATTTCATATGAGTAATCTCTAAAACATCATAAATAAATTTCAAAATTTTTGTCAGTAAAACTATGTTTTATGTCATTTTCTCTACCTTAACTCTATATGAGGTTGAACAATTTGACTGACTCTTTAACCACATAGTAAAATATGAAATAAATTTAAATTACCCTTTTTTTCTTTCTAGAATGACTGAAGGTTGTAACAGAACACTACCATAATTTATCATAAATAGTTTAAAGCTTGAAATGGTATTAATTTGTTTTTACTTAGATTTTATTGTTTTATTGCCCTTTGAATTGTGTCTAACTAATAATCCCACCATATCGAATTATGTAATGCACAGGCTACTCGTGAGCATGCCTCATGAAAATGTTTTATTATTATTTATCTATATTTTACCTAATCTAACCTAGTAAGTTTCTAATTTTTACATTTTAGTTACTTTTATAATAATAAATATAGAATACACATAGAAAACAAGAAATATAGCCTTTTTTGTTGTTGTTGACTGTCGATGAAACTGGACCTTAATTTTTTATACTAATGGTACTGTTGCACTAAATAATTTTTTATTGAAATAAATAATGAACACAGAATAATAACATGTAGAAATCAGACAACATCCTATAAATATAATTTTTCTGGCTTTCCAACTATGTGATAAGAACTGTTGAAAATTCAGCTAAGGTTATTGATGTGTTTTTCATGGGAATAAGGTTTGAACTGGAAACAAAATAGTCAATCCTCTGTTCTTGACTTTCTATTGGTTATAAATAATATATTATTAAATGTCAGAAAGAACTTGGTAATTTGTGAAACAGAGGAGATAATAGGTGGGTGTGGCAGGAGGGGCTGATTTTCTTTGTTACTAAATAAGATTGAGGGCTATAAAAATTATACTTTGCCTGAGCAATAAGTATATGATAATGAGTAATTTATTTTAAATTCTATATACTTTTTGGAGGGGTGGTAAATAAATTGGAGAAGAGAGAAGACCTAGAGAGTAAATGTCACAATGGGGAGGTTAAGGATTTTTTTAAATATTTCCTTATAAAATTAAAATTTGATTTATTAGCTACCTTTTTGTATCAATTTTATTTGTATACCTTGTACTAAATTACATTAATTAAATTTTGAACATTATTCTCAGTAAAACCTCATGCAACACTCAGAAAAAGGTATCTGTATGGAAAGAGTTATAAATGTAATAGTTGATACAAATATAAAAATGAAAAAACAGGAGAGTGAATTTCGTACTTGGACTACATTGAACTGTAAAGTTTGGAAAAAGTTTTTTATGAAATAAAGTAATCTAAAGTAAAATAAAGAAAATATTTTAAATGAATTTGTGAGAATCTCTTGATACTTAAGTGTAATTCTACAGAAATTATGACACTGAAAATTAATCTATAGTTATAGGTTTAACTGTTCTGTCTTAATGCTCTATTCCAGTGGTTCCTAAACTTTAACAATTCCAAGACCTCTTATAATTTTATTTTTTGCACCCCCCCCAAAAAAAGCCATTGATGTATTTTGTTTTGAAAAAAAAAAGATTCCATTATATGAAAAGCTGTATTCCAAAAATATATTTTATTCTATAAATCATATTTTTAATAATAATTCAGACATGACTCACCAAATCCAGTTTGAGAAATACTGCTTTATTTTTATTTATTTTTCATGTATTTTATTTTTTATTATGAGCTTTACATCATTTCATATCACAATAAGTTGGAAATTTTTTATAGTGATTATTGTTTTTAAAACAACCTGCAATGTTTTTTTTTCAATGAGAATTAATTTTAAATAGACATTTTACAATTTTTTTTTATCTGAGTAGTCAGTCAGCTGAAAAGAAACAAGAAGAAACTGTTGAACCCAAAAAAGATATTAAGGAAACTGAAATAAAGAAGGAAGCAAATGAAGAAAAGGAACCAAGGTATTTAAATGGAAAATATTTTACATATTGTTTACTTTTCTGTATTTAATAAATTAAATTTTCATGTTATCACTGAAATCATTCAACTTTCTCAATGTAAGGATTTAACTGGTTGCAAAATTGAATATGAACAATATCTTATTCACAAATAGTGCAGACAAGTAAATTATAACACTTTAAAGCTCTTTATTTGAACTTTTAAGGTGCTAATAATATCATTCATAGTAATATTTTAGAAATATTCATGTATATCATGAATATATAAATCAACACTAGTAAATTAAATTAAAACAGAATATTAACATTAAGGTTCTAAAGTTTTGCCACGATAAAGAAAAACGTTGTTCTTTTACATACATATACGTAATGTAGTAAATAAATGCAGAGTTTGAAATTGGCCCCCTGATTGTGTAAGATTTCATTATGATGTATTTCCAGATGAATGCTGCTTTGTTAGAATAAAAAATGTGGCTACTGTGTTATGAAGATATGTGATGCTTTAACATTTATATTTATTCTGAATTTGCTTGTGGTCACATTAATAAAGTTCTGGTAATGTTTTTAAACATTTCATAGAGGGATTATGATTTAAGCCAAAACTTTTCCCTGCTTTCAGATAGACATAAAAGGATCAGGACGTTTTGTGCACAAATTTTTTCATGAATATAAACATTGGATCATAATTTTCAAATCATACATAAAAAAGACTTTTAAAAAAGTATACCCTCTCACACTTATAGCAAAAAAAAAAATCTTGAGAACATAGTATATTTCTTTTCTTGGACTAAAGAAATCTGTCAAATAATACAACTATTTTATATTGGACTGTTTAAATGAATACTGTGTAGTTTTCAGTGTTTCTTTCAATTCAGTTTGTGAATTGACAGTGGTTAGAACAGTGAAATAAAGTAATTGTATATCCTGTATTTAACTCTGAAGAAGGGCAAGTATTACTTAGTTTTGACTATATCTTATTAACTATCTGTCACATTTCTGAACTTGTATTTTAAGGTTGTGAAGAAGGTGATATCAAAAAAGTAATATTCTTTTTTCTTTCAGTACAAAAAATTAAAGAGTAGTAATAATTTAAAAGTAATCTTCAGAGATGCCTATGAGTAGCATATGTTGTATAGTAAAACTGTTTATCAATAAATTGTATATATGTTGGAATACTGTATTATTTCTATAATATTCAGTGTGCACGATACCAAAACATCTGTTGATCATGTTTTATACTGAAGGTAAAAAATTATCTAAAAGACATACTTACTCTTACCAAGTGAGCTGAATGTTACTAAAAACCAAGAAAAAGAAGCACAACAGTCAGCTCCCCCCCAACGTGTATTGAAAGGAGTTATGCGGGTCGGAGGTTTAGCCAAAGGGTTGTTGCTTACTGGTGAAACTTCAGTTCAGCTTGTGGTTATGTGTGCTGAAAAACCAACAAGAACCTTGCTGGAAAGAGTGGCAGACAATCTTCCCAAGCAATTTGAGGTAACACATGTTATTCTAAGATGTGTTTTTTTACTGTCTACTCCATCCTCAGCAGTTTGAGATAACACATGATATTCTAAGGTGTATTTTTTACTGTCTACTCCATTCTCAGCAGTTTGAGGTAACACATGTTATTCTAAGATGTGTTTTTTACTGTCTACTCCATCCTCAATAGTGAAGTAACTATTATGCATCCAAAGGCTCATATGATAACTAATAATTTACTCATAGTTTATAGAGATGTAAAAAAAAACTTTTGATATACCATGCTAGTAGGCATGAGAAATGTACTGTCCTATTTTTCAACTGCTGAGAATTAATTATAGGATAAAGCACATGATTAGCAGAATGATTTACCTGCTATTGGTCGGTGGTTATTGGACAACCTTATCATTTTTGTCCTGCGCCTAACAGCATTTGATTTCTGTATCTTATTCTTTCTTTACCTCATGCCATATAGTATTTTATGTTATAAGCCTGATCACAGGCTTGGCTTAGAAGTTGTCTTTCATACAACATTCATGACTAAATAAGCTGTTATAAATTAACTGATTCATAGGAACACTAAAGAAATGTGCAAAGTTCATTATATCACATTGTGGCAGTTGTATTGCAGTACATACATATTGTCTCTAATTTTGTCACATTTTTCAAATTTCGATATCCTTGTTGTTGTTTTTTATTATGGGATTAGGAAAACAACTAATTAATTTCTATATTGACTTACATACTTCTAGGTAAGGGTCTGTAAGATTACTGAATTTTATGCTCCTTTCGTCCATGAAATGGCTCGGTCAGGACTATAATACTACCTACAGCTTACATTAGAAGGATTTTTACATGTATTAAAGTAAACAAATGAATGAATAAAACACATGAATTGTTTATGGATGTAGTATAATTTGAAGCTAGTCATTTTCATCAAGAAAAGAAACTTGTCTGTTTTTTTTTAGAACCAATTAAAAAATCATCTGATAACTAAGTAATTAAGTGTCCTTGTTTTATTTGATAAACTGGATTAAACTTATAAAAATTGGTTAAAAGAATCTAAGTTATTAATAAAGAGCAGTGTACTGTTTGAAAAAATTATGTTCAGACTACCTTCTTTTTTTTTTAAAGTTTTATGAAAATGTGTGATCTGCATTTCTCATCGTTAATATCATAACTTGCTGCTGGTTTTTATATATATGTTCCTTAACACAGCTCTTACAATAACTGCACACTACAAAACTAGAAATACTACCATTATATACGTGAGAATGTTGAATCAGTTTAAACTTTTAATTTTTTTACGTTTCCTAAAGGTGGTTGCTTCACAAACAAATTACGAAGTAAAGCGATGCGTAGAAGAAGCAGCAATTGTAGTCCATGCAGAATCGGAACCTGCCGTGACAGTGACTGTAACGTTAACTTCTCCTCTGATGAGAGACGCTAAAGATAGTGAGGGAAGTAGCACTGGTAAGTTTGCTAGCCTTTCTTGAAGAATAAAAATGTTGCTGTACTTTCAATGTAAGTAATTTTATCAATGCATGGTCCTTCTCTTTATTATAGTAAGTATAGATACTCAACTTGATTGTTAGCTGTTGATAACATGTATATTAACAATGATACATTGAATAAGTATTGTAATTAAAATTGTGTATCGTGATCATGTTTATTACATCAAAAGATCTCAAAGTGAATTTTTGTATTCCTGTAGATTTTTTGTTAATTTTTGAGTTTCCAGTAGCAAAAGAAAAGATTTAGCTTTACAATTAACACTTACATCCTAGTTCTCAGCTGTTCCTACATTTTAAAACTCGAGTTTGTAATGAAATAAATTGTTTAACCTTTTTAACAAACATCTATTGCATACTATCACAAAGTTTTGTCATGATCAGGTATTTGACAGTTAGGTAATGTACATGTTATGTATTAGTATATATATTCTCTGTGTTAGGTTAATTTGGGGACTACTTTTATAAAAATATATAGAAAAAAATTATATAAATATATATACACACACACACACATAAATATAATTGTATACTCAGGTATATACACACAAACATATAAACTTTGACATTTTTGTATATTTCAGAGAAACAAAATTCAGTTTTCATAAGGCATATTTGTTTTGCTGAATCTTTTGTGTTATATCTGCCTGTTGTCTAGTGGTGGGTATTAAAACTTTCACCAAGACTGAAAGCTATGCTCACACCAAATCTGTCAAAGAAATTGACATACAAGTTTCAAATTTTAAATGAAATAAATGATACTTATTGTGATAAACTAGTTATACATGTACACACTTGTATTTGAGAAGTACAACTTGTTTAGTTATTTTAAAGAGCTGTCAATATCATACTAGTTAGAGTTGCTTAAATTTTTATTACAGTTAAGCTTTAATATGTATATGGGTTATATAAGCTGTGTTTTTCAGTAGTGTTATTTAATATGTTTTCATTTAAGTTCATGAAGCTTTAAAAATCTGTTGTACAGTGAAAATGCTATAAGTAGAGGGCAGAAATATTTTTATGCATATACATGGAATTACAAATTCACATCAAACTTCATTAATAATATACTCTTTTGAACATCATAGTTTGACAAAAGACTAAAATTGTTTAAGAATAGTTTTCAATGCCTTGGAAATCATTCAGTTTTGTCTTTGCTAATTTTAAGGATATTTTTTCAACAATATTTTCGTCATATTTTTTTCTTTTTCTTAAATTAATTGCTTTAGAATTTACTATATAGTAACTATGTAGTTAAGAAAAGAACTGTCTTAGCTTATGAAAGAAAATGTAATTATTCATTTAGCTTGGAATACTTACAGTACCTGTTTTGTGGTCTTTAATTTAGTGAATATTTTAAGTTTTTTTTTTTTTAGAATTAAATTCCAGTTTTGTTTATTTCTATCACACTATTATGGTTTGGTAAGTTGGTATTTAAATATTTTTGTTTCTCTCCTGTGGTTTATATTGATGATTTTAAGTATTTGAAACTAATTTTGCTGCCATAACTCAGAAATTATACAAATAAATTGTTGTTTACAGTTATTAAGATTTAACTTTTAGGTTTTTAATAATAAAAATAAATGTTAGTAAAATAAAATTTATAGTAATTGATCCAGTAAAGCTTCGGTACAGATTGTGTTATTGTTGTTGTTCTTAATTTTTGTGTATTTGTTTTGGTAACTCAGAAGCCTCTGTAGTTGTTAACTGCTGTTGTGTAATATGTATGTTTTGTTTAGTCCAATTACACAGATTCATCAGCCCTACATTTAAAAATCAACACCACGAGGGGAGAATGCTCTGTTGTTGTAGGTGAACCAGAAAGGATTTTTGATCTTATGAACACTGTGTTCATTTCTTTTAGATTTAGAATATTATGTAATATAAGGTTTACAACTTTTTATTTTTTCAGTACTGAGGAATAGGAAAAGTGTGTTTATGTGTGTATATATTCAAAACACCTCCAGGTTTGAGTTGTTGTTTGTTTTTTATTCTGTTTTTGGTTGGTTGGTTGGTAGTAGCAGCTTCATAACTTTAAGGCTTCCTTTCAGCCTATGGCTCTTCTTCAATTGTTAGATGTACAGGATGATGTGTATTTCCCCCCACCCACCCCCCAAAAGCTCAGAAGCAGTTCTTATATTTTCTACCTCCAATTTCTTCATTTTGAAGACACATTTTTCAACTATAACCTAAATTTAAACTATGCCTGATATACTTTCTCCATATCTGGAGCTCTTTCAGTGAACCAAATGTTCCAGTACTTCTGAATTGTAAGAAAAGAAATGGATAGGAGATCTGATTATATCTATCTTTTTATGTACACAGGAATGAAAAAAATTGTGACTTGTTTGTCAGTGGATTTTTATTGTGCAATGACGTTTGTATTTAAAATACTGAGAGGTGAATGTATTTTAAATATTTATTTAGAAAACTTAAGTTATTTCAGGAACTTTTTGTTAGTCAAACAAAGTGCACACTTGGCCTGAGATTGTAGAAGGGAATGATTCCACTATAATTCTTTCAACTTCCTTTAGAAATCTAACATTTCATGAATTACACTGTTTGGCAAACATTACTAAAGCATTTATCTTGATTTGCAGTCTGTGAAAAAAAATGGTTAAAAAATTTCTCTTGACATCAACAGCTGCAAAAAACGTTACAGTTACAAGATAACTTATAATTAAATTTAAAAAATAAATCTTGGAACAGAATACAACTTATCAAAAACAGAGTAAGTCTGTAAGGGAATTTAACACGACTCTTAGTGAGTTTTAACAGTTCTGTTTCCATTAAAAATATTGTTCTGCTAACAGATCTCTGCACAACCACAAACAAAATCTTGTGTGACAATAGCATTGAAAATATTCTATGAGTCACAAAAATCTTCAGTTATCGTTGTTGCAACTATTACATAGTAATTTCCTCTCGGGTATATAGACACTTCATCTCTTATTATTTGATATATTGAAATCTTCTTGTAATTTGTAACATTAATATATATATATAAAAGCTTTATAAAAGGAAATGCAAGATACTGATTAGGTTAGTGTTCACATGCATAAAGCAGAATATAAATGTGTGCAAGATTTAAAATATATATATATATTTCAGATTTTTAAGAGTATTAAGTTAACTATGTTACTTAAAGGTTAATTGCCTGGAGTTTCTTCTCAGTAAGTTAGTACAAAGTATTGTTAGCCACTTTTAATATAAAGAATAATAATTACTTCATCCTATACACTCATAGACAAACTTGTACATTGTATGCTAGTATTGTACTATTTTTAAGTATTGTTTCACTGTTTAATACTTAAACATAAAAGTATTTTTACAATAATATTTTAACTTCACATAGTTGTGATTACTCACAGCTTATTTTAGGGATGTATCTGTATGTGTGTTTGTATGTATAAATGTATACTTTAATCATAAATTAAGTGTACTTTAAGACAGTGTTGGGAAGAAGATATAAGGTATTAATCATTTTTAGTTACTCTGTTATTTGTTGTGACTTCTCAGATGTGATAGCGATTTTATAATTTTAGTAGATGGGCACAGTGCTGCTGTTTTGAAGATCAAAAAACCTTTCTAATGTTGGTTTACCTTAAGGCATTAATCATCTGCTATCATCTGGTTTCTAGAGAGTGTTAAAGACCCACCGGATGTGTTGGACAGGCAGAAATGCCTGGATGCCCTGGCCGCCTTGAGACATGCTAAGTGGTTCCAGGTTTGCACCCTTCTACTTTTCAGCCTCTTGTTGGTGTAATCATAACATTGTTTTGAATAGCCCTTGTGTTCACTAGTTTCTTCCAGTGAATGAAATTTAGAAAGAGTTCTGTTTTACAGTATATGATCAAGTCCACCTAACATTTTTTAGAGGACATCCCCATTTGAAACTGTTTAACCTGACATGTATTAAACCATCATAAGTATTGTGATGTCCTGAAATTACACTCGTCTTTAAGCCTTGTTTCTGATTTCAATAAAGAACAAGGTTTTTTTTATGTGTGTGGTTCCTCAGCAGTTTGTAACTTCCTAAAATTTAAACTGCTTAAAGTTGTAATAGTACCCTAAAAAATGTTACATGGATTTGTAAGTATCTTGAGCAGTAAGCTGTTTTAATCTTCTTTAAGTAAACATGTAAACTTGTTTTTAAAGTTTTTGGTAACTTGCAGTTTTTTTCATAGACAGTGAAATTTTTGAGTAAACACTTTTATATGATTTTGAAATGATGAGTTTACAGGGTTCAACACATGAGGCTGGAAAGTTCAGAAGCAAGGTTATTAGAAACTGTTCATAGTATTGAAAAAAAAAATTCTGAACTGCGTGTATTTTATCAAGTTTTCTAGCCAAAAAATGAGCATTCTTTTACTCAGTTATTCTTATTGCTAGAGAGTAATGGATCTTGGTTGTAGGCAGAAGGAATGAATGGAGTTGCACACTTCTTGTAATTGACAATTACCAGCTATTTTTTAATTGAGAATTGTGCAGAAAGGACTACAAAGAAACACTTACAAACTTGTTTTATTTAGATTAAGTTAAAAAATTTGACAAGTTTTGAGAAAATTAGGATGTTGAGTATACAAACTGTTTTTCAATAATATTTTATAACCTCAAATGGGAAGCTTGCATCCTCTATAAAGCTGAAAATAAATAAGAGTTTTTGTAAGTATGCAAGTAATTTTTAGAGATTTAATAAATGTTTTTTTGCTATATTGTTTACAATGCATAGTAATATTTGGTAAAGGCATGAACTGAAGAAAATACATTGGCATCTTAGATTGTTGAAAAAATTGTTTTTGTGTAACAGATAAATTAAGAAAAACTCCTGTACATTCTTACAAAATTGAGAAATTGGATACTGTCATAATCTATGTGCTTCATTATTTGCACACTGTTTATGAATAAATTGATAGTCTTTTTCAATGTTGAAAAGAAGGAGAGTATCGTAGAGAATAATAACAGATCTTAGTTAAAAAGCAAATAATTAGTACTGCTGCTACCATTCCACCTGTACGGCTGTTTTTTCCACTAAATTCTATTTTTGCTAGTCTAACAGCTTTACATTGTAAAAGAAAATACATGTCACTGAAATTAAATGCTTTTCTTTATGACTGAAATACTCTTGTATTACAAACCAGTGTATAAAATAACAATAACTTTCCTACATAACTTTAAACTGGCAGAATCCAAATTTTAAACTATAAGTTTAGAAGTTCCTAGGTCTCAACCATTCTTCAGCTGTAGAATTGAGTTTGTGATTAAATAAATTGGTTAATGCTTTAATGAACAGCTATTACACAGGCTCAGGTAATAAAGAAGGTAATACAATTTGCTGATTTTATCTTTAGAACTAGTATGCTTTTTACTGAACCAAATTTAATGTTAAACTTAAAACACAATCTTGTCTCATAAAAATAATTCTTTCATGCATATGAAAACTTTAAAAAAATTGCCTCTAACTGAAAGATTTTGTGTTTTTTTATGAGACAAGATTGTGTTTTAAGTTTAACATTAAATTTGGTTCAGTAAAAAGCATACTACTTCTAAAGATAAAATCAGCATTACAACCAATAGACCTAATATTTGTGATAAAAAGTAATGTTAAATTGCAGGTGTTTTTTCACAGTTCTCTTTAATTTGTTCATTACAGTTTGGAACTTAAGAGATGTGGAAAAAAAAATACAGTCTAACTTGATCTCATAACAACTATTAGGTCTGTCGATATACTGTGCTTCATTAGTTTTTGTTATTCAAATTCCAAACTTGAAAACCAATGTTACATTCAGAGAAAAGAATAATATAGAAAATGGGAATAAATAGTGTTATATTCCTTGATTTCTACTTGGAATTTTCATGTAAATATTTTTAAGCAAATTTTTTAGTTATTGTTCTGTACATCTTTGATATTTATATATTTATTTTATACACATAAAATTATTTATTTGGAGTAATGTGAACGTGATTCATTTTTAAAGGTTCAGTTGGTTTCAGACACTTGATTGTGCTCGTTTTGAGACACTTTAATGTGCTGTTTCGTGTCTTTATCAGGCCAGTGTAGTTAAATTGTGATAGTGGTATATCTTAAAGTGGACTGTAGAAAACTGATTTTTAAGATGTACGTATGTAGCTTGTGTGGTTGTAGAAAGTAGTTACAATGCCAAGTTTAGGCTCAATGAATTGTTAGATGATTGTGATGTGAAGACAGGCATCCAAAGATTGATGAGGTTTGAATCTTAAATTCCCCTAAATTTTTAGTAGTTGATTATATATGGAAGCTTTTTTTGTGTTTATCCTGAATATCTGTTGTGATGTTTTGCTAGCCATAGAAATTGCATTTGCTAATATAACTGATATCCTTGGGAGGCTTAAAAATATCTTTACTAATGAAAGCATATACCTCAGCCAAAACAACTCACCTTATCTATACAAATACTTTCAGTGATTTTTCAGTGCAATAGGTTGGGCATTAATGAAAATTAAAGAGCCTTACATATGCATGCAAATCAACCGGCTAATCAGTAAGGGGCTAAAGTCCAGAAATAAGACATTTGGAATCTTATTTTCCGACACTACTCACCACCAATTAACACATGAGTGTCCAATTTCTATTAGTTTTGCTGACATTTCAACCCAACTTTGCAACAGATTTTTGTGTATATGTATCTGTGTATGTGTTTATATTTTATAATTTCATCTCGGTGTAACAGTAACGAACACTTTCACAACCACATCACCTTTTATACACATCACAACTAATTTAACATTGATAAGATAAAGATGTACCCCAGCAGATGAAAACACTGCCTCGTGACTAGCTCAATCAAATGGATGAAAGCTGTAGATCCTTCCATGATGAACTTGAGACAATTGTTTTCGTATTTTAGTTGGTACAAATTTTGATTTTTACTATTTCAAGCAAGATGCTTTGGAAGAGCCTGTTCTTTGACCAGTAGTTTATTTTAATATTTTCATTAATGAAAAATACAAGCTGGTCTTTAAAACTTTTGTGTTGTTTTGGCCTAATGTTTCACACTATATACTCCAAATACAACTAAAGGTAGTTAGAATTCATTTTGTAGTGTAAAGATAAAACTGCCATTAAGTTTATAAAGATTAATCCTAAGGGAGGTAGAACTTTAAATTGTGCACTTAAAAATACTTGAAAGTTAATATAAGTTATTATAGAATTTGGATAAAAAAAAGGGCCTATTAAATTATTTGAACTCTGATTTATACAGATCAGGTTTCACCAGATATGTTGAAAATGTATTGGTAAATGTATTTTTCATTTTGTACTATTGCTACAAGCAGTCTTTATATTAACTGTAATGTTTTCAGTGGTAATTTTGTGCTGTTGCCAGTTTTTATAAGTGATGGGTTGTCTGAAGATGTTTGTTCCTTGTTGTATCAATGCTTGTAATTTGTACACTTCTAGCAACAAGTTAGGGTTATGGTGTAAAATAGGTATATAACTAGGGGTTTCAATAATAATAAAAAAGTTTCTCATATGCAAACCATATTAATTAGTTTGGTTCGCATTGAACAAAAAAAAATGTTGTTTTAAAATGAGTTCACTCTTCATTGACAGCCAGCCAACCTACATTCCTTCAGCTACTTCTCACAAAGTTTGCATTGTTTCTTTGGAGCTGGAGGAGCATTATCTGCATGAACACTTGCATTGTTTGTGGCATTATTTCACAAATCAAGAAATTTTGAAAGATCTGTTTGAGTTATTTACTTATGAATTTTTGTACAGTAGTTTAACAATAAGAAATTACATGAGTGACTTCAGAATAAGTTCCAACTAACACGTGACTTTGTTCTTGTTGAATGCCTTGGGATAAGCATTACTTCTTTATATTACCTTCAAAAACAATTGACTAGTAACCAGGCAAAGGGGAAACAAAATGGAAGAGTCTGGTCACCTGGTGGTTTTAATTTGTTTTATATATGACTTTAATTAAATTTTATCTAAAAATTGAAAATGAATAGTTTAATGAGTTTATAGTGACTCAGTGGGTACTATTAAATTCCAGCATGATTTTCAAAGCTGACTAGTCAAAGAGAAAAGGTACTTCATCAGAGCAAGCATAGAATGATCCGATTGTATTGGAAAGAGTTTAAATAAATATGTACTTGCTAGAAATGTTCTAAACCTCATAGAGAACTTTTTTGCTCCTTGTATTTGTTATATGCCTAGCAGCTAATATTCAATTCCTGTAGTTTCAAAGATTTTGAAACATGATCAACTTAACAGTACAGAGTATATTATGTAATAAAGAATGTGAGGAAAACAAGGTTCTTCGAAGCAGTTGTTTATAGGATGTACACGAAATATAAACTAACAGATGATTTGTATGTTATATATTCCTGATGGCAGTAGTGTTTGGTTATTTAGAATTAGTTAATCTTCTAATGCAGGAATTTTATAGCAGTTTTTTATAAAAGAACATATTTGAGTAGTTAGGGAAACAAGCAAGTATTTTAGTTTAAACTGCTATGGAAAATAACTTCTTTAACCAATGTTTTTTAAAGAAAAACACACAACAAAAAATGGTTGACGAAATTGATGTAAAAATCTCATGTAGTGAAAACCAAGTATTCTTAAAGTGTTGATTCTTTTACTTTGTTGTTTCTGATAAACAGTTTTCATGCTTAAATCACCATACTTAGCCAAAAATTGCTTGAACTAAAGTTAAATTTTGCCATGAGATCAGATTTTTTCAAAAGAGAAAAGTTGATCTTCTACAATTTGTATAATAAAATTCTGGATTTTCCAAGATGACTTTTTTAGTGTAATGATAGAAATGTGTAAAACCTTAAATTCTCAGCATTCTTACAAAAACTTGCAGGAAATGTTTTTTAAGAGACATTAGAAATGACTGACACAAAACAAGGTTTATATCTTAAGAAGCTTGGGTTGAGAACAAAAGCATACATCTGCTTTCTTTGTAACATGAATGAAGTTTGAGACCACACTTTTTTTTTTTCTTACCAAACAGGGCCCTTCCCAGTTGCTCAGTGGTAAGTCTGAAGGCTTTTAACGCTAAAAACTGGGTTTCAATACCCATAGTGGGCAGAACACAGAAAGCCCATTGTGTAGTTTTAAGTGGTAATATTTAGTGGTGTATTCTGATTTGAAAATATGTAAATTTGAATGTCAATTTCTGATTGTTTTCACACATTCCGTTCATCTTTGACACATGCTGATTGTCAGTAGAATAAGGTTGCAGATAGCAGGTATAACATGTTAACATTAAGGTTTAATAAACACTAAGATAAATGGTAGTTTAGTTTGGTATGAAAAAAATTGTTTTGCATGTTACATAGCTTGACTTGCATTTGTTCTCTTGGGGAAATAAAAAATGTGATGCAGAAAAGGGGAGATTTTATGAAGGAAAATGATGTATCATTAGAGGTATTAACAATATTACTTGGAACAGAAATATGATGTAAAGATAATATTGTAAGATTGGTAATAGACAATTTTCTATAGCAGTTAGTTGAATGGGTATATTGTCATGATAAAGTAGATTAAGATTTGGCAGAATAGAGAATTGTTTTATCGTAGTACTAACAACGGGTAATGTTTGCAAAATAAAACTGAATGAAATTACTTTTTGCTGTATTATTAGTAGTAACATTTGTTTATTTTCAAACTGAAACTCAGTGGAGTAGCATTTCACTACATGTTTTGAAGAGTTTATATTACTCTTTACCTGTAAACTTATAAATCTATGTAATTTATTTTAAAATATGAAAGTTATTTTAAAGTTTCACTAATTAATGTTTTTTTTTTTCTTCCAACGTGTATTGCAGGCAAGAGCAAGTGGTTTACAGTCGTGTTTAATTGTTATTCGAATATTGCGGGATTTATGTCAGAGAGTTCCCACATGGAGCAAATTAAATAATTGGGTAAGTGTCATGCATGTAAGATGAACATACTGTTAATTCTAAACATAATAGAGGGAGTAATGTATACGTATTCCCGAACTGTAAGTGTTTTGTAGTATATTTTTCATTTTAAATTGACATTTACCAGTTTTCATGAAATCACATATATTAAATGTAATATCTGTTAAATGATACAAGTTAAATAATAAATATATTTCCAAAAATGTATGATATTGGTCAAATTTTTAGATAATTTATGTTTTGTTTTAGGCATTAGAACTCCTTGCAGAAAAGGTAATTGGTAGTTGTCCTCAACCATTGAATCCTGGTGATGCACTTCGTCGTGTTTTTGAAGCTGTAGCCTCTGGTGTTATATTACCAAGTTAGTGGCTTGCATTCAGAATTTTTTAATGTTTGATGTTCTATTTGGCTTACAGAATGACAAACAAAGAACTTGTAAAGGATTCTGTAATTATAGAAATCAATTTTCATTTATTTGTTACTAAAGCATGCAGTATGCATTCCAGTCGTATATGCTATAGCTTAAATTAGTTTTGACAGTAGAGTACTCTTATTTAAGTAAGTCTTGTAGCTACATTGCAATATAAGTAACACTTTAAAATCAACAATTTATTTTCCTTCAAACTGACATACCTTGAAGGCTCGTGTAACAGGTGAAAGTGGTAGTTAAATTTTAACATGTCCCTCAGGAGCCAGAGGGGTGTCTTTACACTACAATTTGTTGAATATTAAAAGTAAATTCAATTCGGAAACTCCAAAGAGGGTGGTTTTGAATGTATCTTTTCGAGACAAGTTTTCGTTTGTTATTTGATGAATTTTTAAGTGAAATACAGCATCCTCAAGTCTCCATACTAGCTAGTACTATGGTCTATCTGCTGGGAGTAAATTCAGTATATATATATCAATAAAGTCACATTCTCAGCATAATGAATTAAGCAATTGCCATACTTTTATGCTTCTGCTATCACCTTTTTATGTTTAGCTTTCATTTGAGATATGAACGATTTCATCTGTGATTTGGTTGGGAAGGTCGAGGCATCACAAATGTCAGCAGTAGGATGGGCAGGCAGGAACACTTTGAAAGTAGCTGCAGGTATAATACTGTACTTGGCTTGCCTCACATTATCTACCAAGGTGGTTCTAAACAGTTCCTGAATACCTCTGCGTATCATTTCAAGACTTCCATGCTTTTTTGTGCTTGGCTGTTAAGCTCGTTATTTCAGTCAACTTACCACTTCAAATTACTTTTCACAGCCCCAATGCTAAAAGAGTGTGGAAGATGCATTCTTTTTAGCCAATAAACATGCCCAAAACATTTTAGTTCAAGTTAAGAAAAACTGGATTGGGTATTTTTTTTTTCAACAAAAAGTCGTCCCCCACTAGATCATGAGGGACGTGTTAAAATATCAACCATATTTTAGTTGTTTTTTATACATATAGATTAGTTACTGTAGACATCATTCTTTATTATTATTGTTGTATAATTATAATCTGTGGCAATAGGCTTAATTTTATTTTCATCGTGTTTTTGTGGTATTAGTTATACCAAAACTCCTTAACTTGGAATTGTACTTGTGAGGTTGGAATTTGAACTACCCTGAACCATAAGTTTGTGTTCAGCAGCAATAGGCTTAATTTTATTTTCATCGTGTTTTTGTGGTATTAGTTGTACCAAAACTCCTTAACTTGGAATTGTACTTGTGAGGTTGGAATTTGAACTACCCTGAACCATAAGTTTGTGTTCAGCAGCTATTAATGTTTTTAAGTAACATTACATCACTATTAACTTTGTTCACTTGCTGCTTTTTTTACAGAATATGTCAGTGAATTGGGCTTACAGTTTATGTCGGTTATTTTAAGAATTAATCAGACATAAAGGTACAACCAGTGAATTCATCATAAACAAACCTAGAAATTTAAAAGTCACATTACAGAAGGTGAAATTTAGATGAACAATTAATTGAGAGTTCAAGGTTTTGAAGGAAAATTTTCATATTGTTTAAGTTTAAAGATCAAATAAGAACTAAAAGGTGTTATTTTAAAATTACTATATGTTTATAATAGGAAATGTTTATTAGTTTTTTTTCTCAACTTACATTTAATGATGTTTTAGAGGCAGCTACCAATTATTACATGTTTTTCTAAAAGCTACAATAATACGTCGTTAATTTTTCATGTAGACCTTTAACCATAGCTAAAATTCACATTTTTACTCAATACAAATGTAAATATTTGTTGACCAAACATTTCTGTATAAGGCGAACATCATCATAATACATATAAAATTTGTTTGTATTAAAAAATAATTTTTTCAGGTGATACCACTGTCCAAGGGACTCAATATTTGAATGAAAATGCAGTCTTAATGTTTAGGAATATATCCATACAGTATGGAATTGTACACTTACATGTCTGTTCCAGTTTAAAAAGAAGCATGAAAAAAATCTAACATTTTTTTTCCCATGTTTGATCACTGACAATTTCAGTCATGAATTGGTAGATCAATGACAAAATATTGATTTAACAAAGGATAGTCAATAAATAATTGTCATATGGAAGTTAATAGAAATCAAAAGTAGCATTTACCCTTTACTTAGTGTTTATCTAGGTTTTGACCTTTTTATAAGAAAAAACATCTTCATACTATGCTTTTTGTATGAAAATATATTGAAATAGTTACAAAGACATATTCTGGCTAATGTTGTTGTAACATTACCACTGTGCTAATTTGCATATTATAAAAATAAAGAAATACAAAAGAAATGTCTTATGTTCCTGATAACTTCAACAAACACGGCTGAATTTTACTGAAAATGGGTCCAGATTTTTATTTGTGAAAATTAGTCTGAACTAAGGAAAACTGAAAATTAATTCCAGCTCAAATTACAGCACTAATGAGTATGCCCTAAGTAGAACATATGCTACAGTGATTCTTTATTGGTCATTTAATAAAAACCAAACCTCTTATCAACTTTACCTTAGTACACACAAAAGATACACTAGTAATGTATATGTATGCCAATTATGAAGTCTATAGCATAAACAGATCTGAAATTATGGGTTAAAAACCACTATGAGAATGTCAGTTGTCAGATTTTGAGAAAAATGTGTTTGAAAATTAGGTGCAAAAATTTGTCTAGTTGAAAAAGGTATACCACATCCTGCAAACTGTGAAACTGACACCCTTAATATGTTTCTGGGTATTAAAGGGTATATGTTACCTTAGTACTGTTAATCATTTGCAAAGTAATAAATTTAAAGTAACACTACTGTCCAGTATTTATTATAGGTTTAGTTAACTTGAAAAAACAAGGTTGTAGCTTTATTGATGAACAATATGGGCTCGGTCAAGATGACCAACCTTGCAACCAACAGGTAACCATGAAAGTACACATACTATAATTTTTAATATAATAATTATATCTTCACAAAATTTGCCAAGTTTTTAAGAAGCATTACAAATCATTTTTATACAAAAAAGTTTTTTTTTTTTAGTTAAGTATTTTTACTGAATATTTGTGTGTGAATTTATGGAGTCAAGAGTAGCTCAACACTGACTAGTCTGAGTGCAAATTTATTTTCATGTTGAGAATAGAAATACTTTTTTCATCTTACAGTTTTCAAAGATCATTTGCATAACTTCTAACTAAATACTGTATGGACTCAGCCCTTTTGACTGCCTTTTTAACTCTTGTAAAAAATTTGAAATCTAAATTACCCCTTTTTTCTTTATAGAATGACTGCAGATTGTAACAGAAAATTACAATTATTTATTATAAACTGACTCAAATTCATAATAGCCTACTTCTATTTTTATTTAATTTTATTGTTTTATTGCTCTTTGGACCGTATATAACTACTAAACTTGTGTAAAAAGCTATAAAACATTGAACTCATACCATAAGTTATGATATTGAATTACAAAATGCATGTGTAGTTTGCATGCAGATCTCAGATAAATATTTTAATTAACAATTTTTTTCATTTATATTTTCTTATCTAACCTAATACCATTGTGACAAAAATGTACGGTTAAGTTTCACTGCAAACAAAAGGCTGTATGTAAGTATTAAATTTCATGTATATTTTTTTTCATTTATTGCTATAAAAGTAACTAAAGTGTAAAAATTAGAAACTTGGTAGTGCATAAGATAATTTTTATTGATTTCAAATATGCAGTTAAGGACACAAAATAATAACATGTACAAAGCATACAATGTCCTATACAGCTATAATTCAACTGGCTTTGTAACAAAGGTATAAATGGCTTAAAGTAATTCAAACCTTGTTGTCAGGATGAGTTAACTTTATACAGAAATCAGTAAATCAGAATCTTCTCTTTCTATTGGTTATAAATAATCCAATATCAAACATCAGAGAGAATTATTGACATTTTATGAAAGACAGTATGTGAAAGGAAGGCGTAGCATGCAGGTTTGACTTTCTGGTTTATGTCTGAGTAAATCAAGATAACCTTAGGCTATAAAGATAGCTTATATCTCAGAAGTATCTATAATATAAGTTTGTAATTTGCATTAAAACTCAGAATTCAAATAAGAGTAGAGATATTATCTAAACTGTGCAATTAAGAGTAAACAATTGTTGTGATAAAGAGAAGTGAAGATTGAGTATTTATATGAATATCTCCTTTTCAGATTTACATATTAAAACATCTAATATTACATCTTGGATTATTAACTATGTTTTGCTACCAGGTTTATTGATAATAAAATAGTTTAATTAAATTTTGAATATAACTAAAAAGTATTGGCATGAGCATTTTGAACTAAACAGACAGCTGATAGATAAATCATACAAGTTTAAAAGTGTTTTACATAACTGTGCAATATTTCCTAAACATATTTCTGTATAAGTTATTTTTAAAAGTTCAAAGATTAGATCAATCTAATTTCTTATTCCAGTGCTTCCCAAACGTTTTCAGCTTGCGGCCCATATTTATTAATGTCCCAAACTTTTAGCAGCACATGTAAATAAGTCCGTATGGCAGGCCTAGCAACACTCTCCGTGACAGGTAGAAATTACTGTTATACTGTGTATCAAGGAGAAAATAAATCAAATTTTAAATTTAAAAAAATGTATTAAATTGATAATTAATTTACATTACTGAATAAAAATTACTTAATAATCGCACAAATTACGTAGCACACCTGAGACCCTTCTGCAGCACACAGTTTGGGAGACACTGTCTTATGCTGCTATACAGTAAAAATTATAATGTGAATGTCAGGTTTTATAAAAACTGTAGATTCTTTACAATAGGTGTCTGTTACTTGTTGGTGATAAATTTGAACAATAAACAGACAGCACACAATCCACTTGTTTTAAAATAATATAATCGAAACATATGTAAAAAAATTTGTAACACTATTGGTTATCACACTTGTATCCAGAACTTTAAATAACTGTGTGTGTCTTTTATTTTTGTCTAAGTCCACACAGGTGTGTTCAATTAATTTAGAATACCCTTTTACAGGACACATTATTCTCTTCTACTCTGTTATCACAACATAATTAGTGATAGATTTACTTACTTCACCCCATGGGTTACCACAGTTGTATCCAGAGCTTTAAGTAATTGTCTCTCTCTCTCTTTCTTTTTTTTTTCTATGGCTAAACTTACAAACACAATTGAGATCTATATATGTCACTAACGTTTTCTTTCTTTTTGACTACCTTAACTTTTGTATTCAGTTGTATTCAGAGCTTTAAATAATTGTCTCTATTTTGTCAAAAGTCCACACAGGCTGGTTAGTTACTTTAGAAGACAAATTATTCTTCCTATCTCTGTTGTTACAATACAGCTGTGAAACTCACTTTAGAAGTCCCCCGTCATGGCTAAACTGACAATCACTCAGTCTAGTCTGTCTAATTATCTCTCACTTAACAATTCTTTGTTTCTTCTATGTTGTTGGATGCCTGTTTATAAGTATTCTGACTGAGGCCTAGAACTTTATAGCCGTCTAGTGATAACAATATTACATACAACGAGAAAACTTAAAATTAAAAGCTTCGAGTAAGATGATGTGAACAATATTATAAAAGCCTAGTACAACAATTAAACTATGTACATAATGTACAACTCATATAGAGTTACATAATGAAACTTACCATAACTATCACTTTTAAAATAATTAACTTTTAATACACTTGGTGTGAAACTAAATAATCATTAAATATTAAATCACTAAATAAATAATTCTTCAATTAACAGTTTTGTATGTCCAACAGTGAAATTGTATGATTACAAACTGATACATTCTCAAAACTATAATTTGTAATATAGTAATATAGTCTGTAAATATGTGTTAATGAATTTCATGAGTCTATGATACAAATTTTTGAATTAAAATATTATGAGGAGTTAAACATTATTCTAAATAGTAACAGTAGGCTTTTGAACATTCATAGCACCATGAACATTTTTTGTTTTTTAAAGTTGATCTGGAAAATTTTGTTTAAATATTGTTTTCTCTGCAAGATTGCACATATCATTTGCAATTGTACTGGTTTTAAGTAAAACTATTTGACTAAAAATAAGAGAAGAAAACTAAAAAAATGTTTTCTAACTGGAAAAATAAGTTTCATTTAAGTAAGGAAAACTTGTATTGAAATTTCTGATGTGATAAACTGAACCATCTTTGCCAATCCTAAACAGTTCGCATTTTGATCCTGTGGCACCGTCCAGTTGATGCTTCATTTAACATTTCAAATAAATATTTTTCCACAACTACTTGTCAGTTTGTCTTTTAATGCCTATCACTTATTTATTTCACCATATTCTGAATGAATTTAACTGCATTAAAGATTTTTATTATTGGTGGAACTTGTTTTATTTAAGCTGGTCCTGGGTTGCTGGATCCTTGTGAGAAAAACCCAACAGATGCAGCTGCTAAACTTGCCAATCAGGAGAGAGAAGACATTACTGCTAGTGCACAAGTAAGTACCTCAAAGAAGTCTGTAATCTTATTATTTAGGTTATCTGAATACAGTAGAACTCCGTTAAAGTGCACCCCAATATAATGCAAATTCAAATATAATGAGGTCAGTGTTTGGCTCCCAATTTTCTGGCATGATTGTTAAAGCACAGGCTGTGTAGTTTGATTATAACATCAATGGAGAAAGCATTTTGCATAGAATCATCAAGATCACAAACTCAGGGGCAACAAGAGGAATTTTGAGAAACGGGCTTCTGAAGTATGAGTAAAATCAACATTTATAAGAAAATCTTCAGTTAAGAATAACTAAGTAAAAAATTTATGATAGTAACATGAAAATGTGTAAAAGAGTAGAAAGAATAAAAAGCATATAAAAGATTAAAAAAAAACAATGGATTTGGATTTCATTCTTTTAGGATTTGCATCCAAAACTACATAAAAGTCTTTATGCACATAGCTGTTCTTAATTTTGGGCTAATAGACAAGATGGGAGGGATCAAGCCATAGTATCTATTGTCAACTCATAGGCTACATTCCTTTGACTGAATAGTAGGATATGGGCATTACGCCATAAGATGCTGCCAGATCATACACTAGCCACTAAAAGTGATTTCTACAAGTGTAAAGTTTTAAATGAAAGGACAGATAGAGTCACTTTTTTGTGTTGCATTAACAAAACTGGCAACCACAAGCTTAAACTGCTTATGATTGAAAAATCAAAGTTGCCACAATGTTTTCATCATGTTATTACATTTTCTTAAAATAATACTTTCAGCACTGATGAATCAAATACAGATTATGGCTTTGCTTTAACTATAGGAGGGGATCAGTTTTCAAACTATTTAATAATTTTTTTATTTTTTGTTATATTTTTAGACAACAAGCCACATGGGTCATACATGTTTTGTAGAAAAAAACGTATTTAAAGAGAAAATGCACTAATAAAGAAAATAAAAAGTTAGTCATAAAATGTAGAAGAAACATTAGTTAAAAAATAAAAAATTGCATCGAACTTTACCATTATTATTTTATTACAAGTTACAGCTTTTACAGTAAGTAAGAAATTTTTTAGAGCAGGTACAACGTTTCAATCACTGGTGTGATCATTCTCAAGTACACAACAAGTTTCATTATTGAAATAACACACGGAATGACAAAAGACAGTTGTAAAAGGCCCACTAGACAACCATATTGCATATGTGCTTTGGTTCAAGAGATTGGGTTAACTGCACATCTTATATTTAATCCTCACTATTTTGAGGAAAGTTACCATTGAATTACTTCAGTGGGCAACTGTTAGTAAGTATATATAATAAATTTTGGGTTAAGAAAAACAAACGTTTGTATGTTAGATTCAGTCAGTTTTCAATATGAACAGCATATGAGGTATTAAGAACGTCTGCTTAGGGAGAAGATTTATTTATAACATGTTTTGAGCATTGTTTTGTAGTTTTTATGCCTGGAGGTTACTCAACATAAAAAGTCACCATAAAAATTGACACTGTAACTGATGATTTTAGTTTATTACAGCAAAATTTACAAGAAGTGAAAGTTTTCAAATTAGGGTTAACATTTGAAATTAAAACAAAAAACACAAATTTGAAATGTATTCGCAAGTTTTTTAAATGCATGAGAGGTGGTGCTTTAACGTAAGGAAAGATATTACTGACACATTTTTTGTTGTACACTTTGTACAATTACAAAGGATCATAAGCATTGTAATCTTTTTTTCATACGTGAGAAATTGTAAGGTATAACACTTCACTTAAAAAAAAATTATTCTATATGATAAAACCATAAACTCAGGTTAATTGATATTCACGAGTTAACAAAATAATCAGACTTAACCTGTTTTAACATTGCTGTCCATGTCAAAGGGTTATCAGACCAACAGCTCATTTTATGTATTGTTGACACATTAATCCCTTCTTCTGGTCAGTCAAGGTTAAAAAACTAATGGAGGAGATAAGTGTTATAAATAAACTTAATATAAAATCAAGACGACATTCTGGGAAATAGGTTTGTTAAAATGTGTCAAGTAACACCATACCTGGGTTTGCCCTACCTCATCAATTTCAAGCTTCTCTCATTGGCAGAGGACAGATAGCTAAGGAACAAAAAGATAGGTTTTTATATATATTCAGTACAGTACATTTCAGAATATGGCTCTAGGGCCATAACTTTTGAGCTATTCTTCACTTTTTTGTTGTTATTACTCACAAAGCCATTGCTCTTGGAACAGTAGAAAACTGACTGGTTTAAATTATTTCAATATTAAAATTATGAGAACCATTGTTATGCTGCACTATATTTTTCTTACTAGATTGTGCTGTAAGCCTTTCTTTTAACCCCTTTCATATCACATTTTCTATTTTGATTTTTGATAGGCTATACTTATATATTAGTGAAACAGAAGTTCTTTTATGATCTGTTATTATATTTCTGCAAAAAATATGCTACATAAATAAATGTTAGATATCTGGAATTATACATGATGTATATGATTTCAATAAAACAACAGTAAAGTATAGGGATGCTTTTCTTCAGATACATAATTCAAAATAAATCTGATAGAAATCGGCACAAACAGCATTTCCAACGACATCTAACAAGCAGTGATTGTAATACATGATAACATTCATATACAGTTGAGCATGGAATTAAAAATATGGTGTGGAATGGTTTGCTCGAATTAATCATTTTTCACCTTATTC